CAGATGTGTATGGGCGACGGTGATGAATTATCATCAATGGGGCCTGTTCGTTATTGCTACCGCAACACTTCTGTGAAACACCTGCTTTTGACAAATGGAAGTAATCTAATCACCGAGCTATTTAGTGATCCACTACTGCTTTATTATAACGCCACTAAGATGACTTGTTCTGAAAAGCATCGATGGATTAGCAAATTTTCTCTTTAGTTATCACTGTAAATGTAAGCGAATAGGCTGGCTGGTGAGCGGTCCGCACGTATGCCCCCTGCTCGTATGACAAGTGCAAGTAGGACCCAGGTTGCCAACCTTAGATTTTTTTATAATTTTTTTTTTTTTTTTTTTATTATTTTTAAAGCATGTAACTGCTTGATGTTTAAATCTAAAGAGCTTAAGAAATTAGCATAATTGGTCAGTGCATTCGCCCGGATTGCGAAAGGTGCGGGTTCGAGTCCCGTCTGCTGCCTGGTCCGCGTGGAATTTTTTCTAGTTATATTTTCTTTAGAAAGCATAATTGGTCAGTGCATTCGCCCGGATTGCGAAGGGTGCGGGTTCGAGTCCCGTCTGCTGCCTGGTCCGCGTGGAATTTTTTCTAGTTATATTTTCTTTAGATTTAGATTTTTTTCCTCGTACTTCTGCAGCTAAAAATCTCGTTATCCTGCTTTCGAACCTCATAACCTCGAATTAGTAAATTTATAGGCCAACTGGTCTAATAAATCATAGACCGTCAAGAAATGTTTTTATAGTAAAAAAATGTTTAGATTCAAACCTCTAGCAGATAAATGCTTATAATACTGGTTCAGATACTTACGATTTATGCTCCAACATGTTGCCTACAATGAACAATAATGTTATTAATTTCTGACAAAATCACGTACATATGTGTAGTGTTCTCGCACCTCGTACGGAAGACCAGAAATTTCGTTTTTGTACGAGAATTCTGGTACGGTTAGCAATCCTGGGTAGGACTCACTCACCGAGTATTCTTTTTTTACTTTTTTTAGTAACTCTTTGTCCACGAATATCAAAATATATAAAAAAACAAAATCTGGAGACGGTACCATGCCAACAATCATACCAAATACTGAGTTGTCTGGCACAGACACCAAATATTATTATTTGTTTTACTATAAATTTAATTTAGAATTAAGAAGAGGTGAAGAATTGTTTCTTTTCATTATTAAATCTACTTTTAAAAGTTAAAACACATTAAAAATACTGCTCAAAGCCTATCGCTCTGGTATTAGGACTTTATCTCTGCATTCTTTTGTAAGCATCATATTCCTATAGTACTTGTTAATTGGTACAGGAGGCATCCCTCCAAAATCATTAGTCATTACTTATGTCGCCAGCAATAAAAGTAGCGTTATAAGTCACGCAATATTGAGTAAATTATTTGTCTTTGTAAGTACTATATTAGCTATGCTATTTGGATTAAGCGACAGAATTGACGAGCTTTTTGTGCCTATAAGTTCGCGAAAAGGAAAATTCGTCGAAATACGAAAATAAGTCGCACAATAACACACCTTTGGATGGCATGGATCGTTAATCGCTGCAATTTGGATTAAGCGACAGAGTTGACGAGCTTTTTGTGCCTATAAGTTCGCAAAAAGGAAAATTCGTCGAAATACGAAAATAAGTCGCACAATAACACACATTTGGATGGCATGGATCGTTAACAAGAAAAAACGCAAAGTGGGGAAGTTTGAAAACCTGATCTGAGCTTTAAATCGTGCGAATTGCGTCAGCAATGACTGGCGAAGTCTTTCGCTTGCATCATCCATACACTCTCCAGGTTCATAGTATACTGTAATTTGAAACAATTATGTTCTTAGTATTTAATATTTTGAAACGTTACATATTTACTTATTTTCCCATCACTCATTTCGCTACAGTGTATAATGTTTTTTAGTTTTATTTTTGTATGTGTGTGTAATCCCCGTTCCTGTTCTAGAGTATGTATTATACTCACATATAAAACTTTCATGAATAATATGTGGTGGAAGGTGAAAACCGCATGATAATCCATCCAGTAGTTTTGAATCCATTCAAAATTGTAAACATGCATCATACAGCGAGGACATAAGGCGACTGGCGTTATAAATTATGTAAGTAAGTAACTAAATGTTCCCTAAACGTGGTGATATAATAATATACTGATATCATAGTTTTTAACCTTTAAAGGAAGTAAATTTTTATGATAACTTCGAACGAAGTACGATTGCCTTGTCAAGATTGATTACGAGACCTAATTTGTGTTTTGTCCAAATCCAAATCATTTATTTGCCCAGATATTGCGTACAATTAAGGTGTTACATAAGTTTTTGGTCGACAATATTTATACCTTGAAAATGTAGGCGTGCAAATGTCTAGTGTCAATAACTTTATGCTTTTCATTTTGCACTTGCTTTCTGTTTCTTATTTAACAAAAAAAAAGTTTTATGATCTATTTACTGATTGATATGCTACACACTTTATTCTTATTAATTTCTTTCTTCATTAATTAGGATTTCAGTGTTTTCTTTAATATTATGTCAAATAAATTACTATGTAAAATTCAAAAATTACATTCATTCAAATAAGTTAAATTTTTTATTTGTGTTACTATTAAATTCAAATTGTTACTAGTATGAATAAAATACTTAGGTTCCTATATTTTTATTACTTCCTCATATATATATTTTTTATAAAAATAATGACGTCCGTGCCTTAGCAGAGTTGGGCGTAGATGAATTTAGTAGCGTAGGCAGTTTATGTCTGTAAATAAATTAAGTACTTTAAACTTATTTTTTTAAATAATGAATAAATTCTTAATATATAATTCATTCCAAGACTCTTTAGTGCGTTATCAATACCTACGCAACAAATAAAAATAAACCGCAGTTGTGACAATAACTTCAGTCTTTATCAATAATCGTCGTTTTATTGAAAACATTGAACTTGTTTTTAATTCCTCTTTTGATATGCGGACGTTTGTTTTAGTATTATACTTGCATTGTTATATATAATTAAGAAATTGCCATGTGTTTGTGGCCATGCAAATTAATTATAATCAAATCTGTTTTTTGCATAGTTTTCTATATTATCTTTTTGAATGCGTTTGAAGTGCAATGAAAAGATTTTTTACATAATTTTGCCCATTATAAGAAGCCTCATGGACACTATAGTACCTGTCGAAGACCGAAACAACTTCGAAACCACTAATTTTATGTGAAAATCACATATATAATCGCCGCACCAATGTGTTACACTTTAAGATAGGTGTTCATGGAAACATTGGAAACAAATCTTTTTACATAAAGAAAATAAAGTTTAATTGTTATTTTGTCATAGCTTTTATGCATTATGGTTCCTTCGTGGTGGTAATTGTAGCGAAAAACGGACTGTTTTTTACTAGTACACCGGACTCTTTAGATCAAGGTCAATAGAATTTTGAACTTTCTTTGAAAGTTGGCTATAAGTTCACAAGTAAGTAGATCGAGTGAGAAGTTCGACGCGGCGACGGAGCAATGTCTTATGCTTTCAGTCTCAAGCAACTTATGCAATGGCCAAACAAAGGCTGATTAACCGCATTTATTATATATATTTTTTATTAAAGATGTGCCATGCCTTTGATCGCAGTCGCACCTGATGTTAAGCAACAATGTGGTGCACGCAAACTCAAATAATGGTATCTATTCTGGCATGATTCTCTAAACTTAAAACTATATAATTAAATTCAGTCTCTCTTTATTCTCTATAGACTCTATACAAAATGAAAAGGATGCGCTGTTGTCAAATTTAAGTTTGCCATATCGACATCATTGCCTATTTATCATTGCGTATCGGGCATTACAGACACATGAAGAGAGTTTCATTCTCTAGCGGTTCGCATAATAAAGGAGGATCCGAGTCGTGAGGTGCGCAGGTAGGTAGATATATCAACCACGTTCAGTGAAGATCCTGTCCACGTCTCGTCGTCCGATGGTTAATAGGTGCAGTTGGAATTCGAATAGTTCTTCTGGACATTCCCCGAAATGTAGCTTGTAGAAAACACGCAGACACGCAACCAGGCGGCGATGCTTGAGGGTTCCTGTGGCCTGCGTGGCCCAGTGATGACGTTAAACAAACACCAACAACAACGAAAATTTTCATATTAAAAAGTACTTCAACTCTTCGCTTGATAACGCTTAGTTTACCTATATTTAAAAGAAAGCTTAAAAAGTGGTTAATAACGAAATGTTTTTACTAAGAGAATATTTAGAAACGACAATTGACTTAAAATAATAAATAAAATGAAATAAGTACATATAAAATTTACAATTAAATTAATAATCAAAATTACCATCAAAATGTATCTACTCTGTTTTGTGTGAATAAATAAATTTAATTTCATGCACATAAAAAGTGTCAAGGGATCTAATATACAAGTACTTTCGTGCGTAATTGACGCTGCCCGTAAACATTAACATCCCAAAACTGACAAATATGTATAACCATATTAATTTAAATGCACATAGAAATTAAAGTAAAAATCTAGTAGGCAGGTAAATGGGATACTGAAAATGTATCTAAAAAAAAATTTGATTGGCAAAAACATATTCCTTATCGAGATATTTTTTTGATACCGAGTCATTTTAATTCAATATCGATGCAATTTTTCCTGACTTTTTTAATTATGAATAGATTAGAAGTACTTTTTTTGTGACATTGCGTATAGGTATTATCTTTAAATTAATTTTATTTATTTTACGTCACTGAAAAACTATATAACTATAATATGTAATATTTGCACGTTGACATTCAACAAAATATGCTGGAAACTAAAAAGCTAACAACTATTGTAACCATATTTTGGCAAATAAATGATTATTATTATTATTTAACATAGAAATGGTGAATTGTCGTTTTTTTGGCTAAGTGCTTCTTTTTATATGTCGTCGGTTGTACATGGTTTATCGCACGTCCCGGCGAATGTATTCATGCGCAGATTGACAGCGTTCCTTCACCACAACGCGAAGGGTTGTAACTGAATGCGCGCGCGCCTGCTGCCGTTGAAGTGTAGCGCGGGAAAACTTTTCAAATCCTATAAGTGATAACCTCTGAAGAGTAATAAAAATTTTTGTTAACTTACGTACTTACTTGTTAATTAAGAAGGATTTATCTGAGATCAGTAACGACCTTTGTTCAGTAGTAGTAATATTTGTAGTAAACGAAAAATGACGACGTTGCTGAGGAAAATTTGGAAAAATCACACCAAACACCAAAGTAAGTACTTGATTTTTCAAAATAAATGTATCTGTATTGGGAAAGTGTGCCTTTCAGCAATGTAATAAATGAAACCTGAAACAGTAAAAAATATAATTAAATACTTCATTAAAAAAATATTTAAATATCAAACAAAATATACAATCTAGTTAAAACTAGTTAAAAAAAAGCATATAATAACAGTTTAATTTTAACATCCAGTTCAGGATTAAAAATCAATACATTATTGCGACAGTGGTATCGATTCTGGGATGATTCTCTAAACTTAAAACTAATTTTAACATTAGTGTCTCCTTTTCATTCAGTATAGTGAATGACTAGGTTACACTGTTGTCAAATTTAAGTTTAGGTTTAGAGAATCTTGCTAGAATCGACACTAGTAACTCTTATTTTAATCCTATGGCAACAAACCAAATGTGACTTGTAAGAGGACTTTGGAGGACTACTCTAACGCTTCTAAGTTTTATTTTCGAGATAAAAAAACCTGCGTTTGGTTTTTTTATCTCGAAAATAAAACTTAGAAGCGTTGATAGGCGATAAAATATTGTCTATGTGAAATCAGGTACTTATTTTTTGTTGATTCGATGCAGAAGATATGTAGTGTCAAAAATAACAAGATATTGTTAGGTTTTAGGAAAAAACGACAAACAAGTGTAACTTTTGATATCATTAATAAAGAAAGTCTTTCCTCGGCGGGGAATCGAACTCGAGCCACCCGCGTAACAGTCGACCTTTCTACCACTAAACCACCGATGCTGTTTGATAAGGCCTTTTTTATTATAATTAAAATTTTAATTCGACATGCTAATATGAACGAAAATTTATCGAATAAAACTAGTTTAAACGGGTTGGCACGAACTTTATTTATTGACGTTTTGCAGCCTTTTCAGGTCTGCATCGTCAGAAAATTTATGGGGCTGATGTAATAAAAAAATCATTTTAAAAAGCCTTTCGATGCAAGCCTAACAGTTTGGGTTTTTTCAATGAGTGTGGCAAAGCATCACACAAATAAACAAAGTACAATGACCACTCTTATAAGAGCCGAGTGAGATTGGCAAAAGTGATTGAACTTTATTGTAATACATTATATTGTTTATAATAGGATTATTGACTTTACCGATAGCTCGATTGAAATAAACGTTGTACCACTAATTATTAATTCATATACCTAGGTGGAATTAACGTTATTATTATAAATGCTGTTTTATAATTAAAACGAAACTTAACAGTACTTTTTTATAACAATAAATGATAAGTATTGAGATGTAACGTCAGTTACTGTGTGTAATAAAAATTCGGTATTTATATTTATTTTTTTATACTGAAGAAGAAATCAATAAAGGAAACAGGAAGAAAGTATATTGTTTCTGCAACGAACTGTAAAAATCTAGATGTGAAAGTAGGCAGTATACCTATTCATAGAGACTACACATATCTTTCTCTACGAACGGTTGCTACTGAATATTTGTTGTTACTTAGTTTTACAATTATCTTTTATTACTCAAATTATATGGTTTATCTAATATTAAATAATCTTTCCTGAATGTATTTAAGCCAATTTTATTTATAACTTAATATTTTCTATGGTAAGCAGTTGCTTCATTACCAGATTCCTAAATTAATAAATAAACTGCCAGAAATAATTATAGATATATGTTTGTTTTTTCATTAATTTAAGATTCAAGAACGGAAGCGTAACTATAGAGAAAATGTTGTTTCCTTTTACTTTCGCGAATTATGCTCGCATTATTTTCCTGATGCCATTTAATAGTTGGCGCTCTGTGGCAGTTAGACAGACAAACAGCGAGGGATTTAGAGGGAGAAGAGAGGGGTGGAGGCCCTGGGGCAACGAATGAGCCTTCTTCAGAGGCCGCTAAAATTGTTAAGAAAATTAGCAATTTCTAGTATTAATGTTGATTTAGTATATAAGATTTGGCTAAGATGGAGCTGGCATAATCCAAAGTTGTCGATCAAAGTTCCTAAAAAAATCAAGAATAAAAAATAAAAAGAGTGGAGTCCCTAATGGAGTGGGCCGCCACTTATGATATGCACCCCTTGGGTAGTTTTCTTTTTGAGGGGGCCACTAGGCCACAGCCGCGCCTGATCCACCTCGAATTCGTCCCTAAGCCGCATATTAACAGGGTTACGTTTGTCACCCTAAAAACTGAGGATTTATTCTCCCTTATCCTTCCATCACATTTTCTTCAGAGGACCACGCACGCTGGCCTATGTTGCCACTGACTTACTGTGAGTAGTGGCCACAGTTTCTACACGAACAAAAAAAGTTTGGTGACTCATTTCTTTGTCGTACAATTCGTAAGTGGACTTTGCCTGCGCACGTGTTCCCTCCTTCCTACAATCTGGGGTCCTTTAAGAGACGCGTGAAGAAGCACTTTTGCCTGCAAGGTGATGATGGTTGGTGTGAGTTTATAACTACTGTAGGTACGAGATATCTCGCGTTTGGACTTCATCACCACCTAACCTCAGGTGGGGTAGAGTCATTTGCCTACCTGGCTATAAAAAAAAAAACAGAGTTGGGAATGATAAAAGCACTTACATGGTATACTACGTTGTAACTCAAATGCTTTTTAAGAAACAATATCAAGAAAACGTATCCGTACTATATGCAGGTTCGCTATCAGAGCTGCGCAGTTACAGATCTAAGTTTTTACGTCTTCATTACACGTTCCAAGTTCGGAGTGAGGGGCAATGCGCATAAGGCCGACTCCGGCTGCTGGTTTCTCTTAATTATCTAGGAATTAGGAGCTCTCACTAAACTCGCCTTAAACGGTCTATCAGAAGGAAAAACTAGTCTTGACAGTTCTCTTGGAACGTGTACAGTAATAGCTTTGTATGTAGTACGTTGCTGGTTTGTGGGTGACGGCGAGCAGACAAGGCCACTCAGATGTAGCAACGTGTTTGAAATGGGTGTGCAATGAGAAATGTCACTTCTCGGCCCTTGGTACTTAGTGAAGTACTTACTCTTCGATAACGGGGATTTATTAGAAAGTTCTCTGTTACAATACAAAAAAAGTTATGTTTAAGATGCCTTTCTATTGCACTAAACTTCCATTTTATTTCTTTTACAGCTCTTCAAAAATTCCAAATCTTCGAAATAGAAGTATTTAAATAAAGAGTATAAAGATTTCTTTTATTTTATACAAAACGCAACTTCGTCTGCGTGGAAAAATTGGTATCCCATACAAACTTCCAACCACCCTTTGAAATTCCACCCCCTTAAAGGTTGCTTTCTAGGATAAAAACTATACCATGTCCTTCTCTCGGACTAAACTTATATCTCTACCAAATTTAATTTAAATCGGTCCAGCGATTTATGCGTAAAGAGGTAACAGACGGACAGACTTATAAGTCGCATTTATAATACAATGGCCTGCATAACTAAGTATCGCATACTATAAATAAAACTAGTTTTAACGGGTTAATGCACGAACTTTATTTATTTATTGACGTTTCGCAGCGTTTACAGGTCTGCATCGTCAGAATAATGATTTTTGATTTACTTTGTCGAGCTACTTTCGAGAGACTTTCATTGAGCTTTATTTTTATTTAATGAGTGATGTGCGTGAAAACCTAAGAAACAAATAAGAATCCCATTTTTGAATTTGCAATTTTTTCTAAACAATAAAAGTTAAAACTTAAAATAAAAAAAGTTTATACTTATATACAAAATAAACTCATTTTATTTCCTTACTACTTAATGTTTAACTCAGTTTTGTAGGCAGGTTTGATTATGCTGGTTGAAAATGTTCCTCGTTACATTTTATTTATGAAAAATTGAGCGGTCACGAAAATTTCAATGAAAAAGACATAAACGCGTTACCACCTCTTATGGAATAAACCTTAACACACACTTTAATATTTTGTTAGGTAAAATATAACTTTAAAGTTATCTTTCGTTTGATTTATTAATAAATAAATATTTCCAACGCTCACACCAATTAGCCTAGCCCCAAAGTAAGCACTACAAGGCTTGTGTTATGGAATACTAGGGTAACGGATAGAATACTATACTGTACATATATAAGTATATTTTTATAGAAATACATATTAAACATCTATGACTGGAGTACAAATGTTCGTATTTATCACACAAAAATCTGCCCCTACCGGGAATTGAACCCGGGACCTCTCGAGTCGGCGACAAATTTGAAACCCGGCGTACAAACCACTCGGCCACGGAGGTCGTCTAATCTAGCATGTATAAGAAATGAACTTATAAATTGATTTTATTTGTTTAATAAATGCTTTAATATTTATATTAATCTTAGTTCTTTTTTCCAAATTTTATTACTTTTAATACAATATTAATAAAAAAAAGCTAATAATTTACCAACTGGTCGACAAAGTGCGTCTAGAAAAGTTGTACCTGTACCTTGCGTTCGCGGTAAGCTTTTTGCCGTCCTCCCTCGATCAATCGATCGATATATAATTTCTTGAGAATGTCATAAATTATTAATCGGATGAAAGGCAATCGTCGAATAGGGACAGAGTGGTGGTAGTGGAATGACTGCGATCTTACGAAATGAGTCTTAGGTATTAATTTATGGTTTGTATTGCTTAAATGGTCGTGCCATAAAAATATAAACACGATGGACTAATTTTGGATGACACTTCTTATTCTTAAACTATTGAACTTTGTTGTGGTAAGTTTTTAAAGATTTTATTTTTGCTTGTTTCTCATTAAGTATATTATGTGCATAGGAGTATAAGCCGCGGCACGAAACTCAAGCGCTGACCGTTATTGCGCAGAAGTAAAAATTAAGATGTCTTGAGAGGGAAACGAGGTGCGCGGATGGGCGTGCGTTGCGCCGATTGGCTCTCCAGTCTTACCCATGCACAGCTATCCTCTCCGAGTTTTGTTCAGCACTAGAGTTACGTGCCGCGACCTGTAATAATCATTTAAGAGGTCGTAGCATACATATCAACGATTAGTTTGCGTTGCTGTAGGGAGGTTCATACAAAAAAACGCCGGGTTGCAC